TTGTAAGAATTCACAGGAAACATTTATCTTTGGCCAAAAGGACTGGGAACTAAGGGAAGGGATGTTCACTTTTTCTTGGTATTGAGGTTTTACAATTTTTTTAAACCTCCATTTGTTAAGTTGATATATATATATACATATATATATATACATATATATACATATATATATGCGCATGTATTTTAAAAATATGTGTCTAGTCAGGGAAGTAGGTTTACTTTCACATCTATAAATTGAAAGTATTTAATTTGTAGGTAAGAATTATATACTTCTGTATTTTAATATATATTTTAGGGTTTGGGTGGTTGGTTTTTTGTTTGTTTGTTTGTTTGTTTTGAGATAGGATCTCACTGTATTCCAGGCGGGCCTTGAATTCACTATGTAGCCCACTCTGGCCTGGAACTCACAGCAGTCCTCCTGCCTCAGCCTCCACAATGCTGGGATTACAGGCATAGGACACCATCTTTGGCCTTATTTTGTTTTGTTTTATTTTTAAATAAAAATATTTTAGACGGATAAAACTGGATTCTGTGTGAGCCATGTTGAATAAAAATTAGCGGAGGCTGTTTTGGACTAAGCTCCTACACTAGGCCTCAATAGACCAGTCTAAAAATTAAAGTGGAACTGAGCTTTTTATGTGACCTTCTAAGAAAAATCAAGATCAAAGAGATAGTAGCCAAATTTCCCAGACCAGCCACTTTGAGATAGCATGATATTGAAATCCCTTCATGTTAGTCCTTTTACACAAAAGGTAACCTGAAGTGAGCTGATATTAATCAATAAGTTGTTTTTCTACTCTATTGTCTCCCTATCCCTTCTTTATAAGGAGTGTGACTTTTGGGCCACCTGTATGCTGAACAAACACTCCGGCACTGATGTATATTACCAGCCCTTTTTAAATTTTGAGACAAGGTCTTTCTAAATTGCCCAGGCTGGCCTGGAACTTGTGATTCTGATGGATGCCTCAGCCTCCCAAGTAACTGTGATTACGTATGGACTACCATTGCCTGATTTAGGAGAGTAACTTTGAAATGACCGATCCACTTTTTGTTGTTTTTGCTTTCTTCAAGCCCTTTTCTAGCTATAAAACTAACCTCCTCTGCTCAGCACATTAAAACACTTACTCTATGCAATGAAATGTTGACTTATTCTAGAATAAAAAATAAAGACAATTAAGATCTTTGAGTTAAATTGTAATTTTGTTCTTTGACAGAGGCAGGATAAAGGAGGAGAAAAGAGGGTCCATATTAACTATTTCAAATTTAAGAATTGTTTTTCTGGTATTGAAATTTCATTAATTGGTGCGTGCTTTATCTCCTTTTAGCTTTCTCACTGATATCTTGCTTGCTGCCTGTACTATAGATAAGCTAACTCTTCCACCCTCATATGTTATACTTTGCATTCTTCTAAAGCTTTACACTCTTTTTTGCTTATTTCTTTCTTCCTTGATTTAAATATTCTGCCTTTTGTGTTTACCTTTAAAAAAAATTTTTTTTTTTGAGGCAAGATCTTGCTGTGTAGTTTAGGGTGGCCTTGAATTCACTATGTAGCACAGGCTGGCCTCAAACTTGTAGAGATCCTCCTGCCTAGCCTCCTGAGTCCTGTGATGTCAAATGTGTGCCACCACACCTGGCTGTGTTTACCATTATTGAGTGAAACAGATACGTGCCAAGCTGTAAAATGTAAATTCCATTGTAACTGACTACTAGTCACAATTAAACATTTCTCAAAGGTGGGAGTATAAATTAGTGCCTCCTAGGCAGATAGTTGATATAACCCATCTTAATTTATATTATATATACTCTTATCTCTAGCACCACAAACAAAAATATATACTTTGCTACAATAACTCCTCCCTAGGACTTTATCCTAAAGATATATTCACACATGTGCAAACATGTATGCAAAAGGAGGAGTGTTCAAGAAATTGTGAATGGTATCTGGTTAGAAAAGAAAAAGGAGTTCAGAGTGGGAGACCTACCTGTTATTATATGTCTTCCAAAGTTCATGTTTACCTTTATTTTATGCAAGTTGAGCATCACTACTCCAGGCATCTGAAATGTTACAGTATTGCACCAACATGGTGCATAAAGTTTCAGATTTTCAGATTAGGAGTGCTCAGTCAGTAAAGTTTGTGCAAATTTTCCAAAATCTGAAAAACTCTAAAACACTTCTTTTTTTTTTTTTTTTTTTGGTACCGGGGATCGAACTCGGGTCCTTGCGCTTGCAAGGCAGGCGGTGAAACCACTAAGCTAAATCCCTGGCCCCTCTAAAACACTTCTTGACATGAGCATTTTGAATAATAGATATTGAGCCAGTTAACTTAGTACTTTTTATGTTAAAGAGAGAAACTAAGGAGAAAAGAGCCTACTTACCACTTGTGTAACATAGTATGTATAGATTCTTATGGCTAATGGATTTTCTTGAATATGTTTTTCTTCAAAGGTCACCAGTGCTGACAGTATGCTTCTTTATTGCTCAACCTGACTTTATGTAATATTTCGATAACCTTAAGTAATACTTTAATAATTAAGAGCTCATTTCTGATGGTAGGATGTTTTATAGAATATATTTGTATTTATCTGTTATAATGCACACACATATATCATTATGTCTGCTTTTTATTCCTCCAATATTCTTTTCTTTATCTCTTCAAGCCATTCACATACCCTTTCTGACTCATATTCTGCACACACTCATTCTTCACCCTCTCTCCATTGCCTATTGACCATCTGTTTTTTTCCCATGCTCATGCTCATGTCCATGTATATGTGTGTATATGTCTGTGTAGATTGCACACTGACATAAGCACATACATAAAGTGATATTTTTGGTTGTAGTTTTTTTAAAAACCCAAATGTATTATTATTATATATTATATATTTTTTTTTCTTTTTTTTTTTTTGGTACTGGGGATCGAACTCGGGACCTTGCGCTTGCGAGGCAGGCAGTGGAACTACTAAGCTAAATCCCCAGCCCTATTATATAACTTTTTAAAATTGCATTTTGCTATTTTAGCAATGTACTGTGGAGATCCCACCAAGTCACCGGAGATAACAATGATTGCATTGTATTAATTGATCAAAGTATATTGTAGGTTTATTCAGCTATTCTTGTAGTGATTGAAACAATTTGTAGAGACAAGAAACTAGAAAATAATTGAAAATAAACACTACATATTTCCTTATGCACGAGTACTTTTATTCCTATAGATTTTCAGGAGTAGAATTACTAAGTTAAAGTTGTAAATACTTTAAATTTTAATATATTGCTAGTTTTCTTTTCAAAGGAATGTCACGTTTAGACCAGTAAAATGTGGTAGTACCCTTTTGAAGAGATACCAATCTTTTTAATATTTCCTAAGGTGATTTGGCATTGTTAAACTATTGTTTTCTTGACTTCTAGTGTGTTTTTTGGTTTGTTTGGTTTTTGGTTTTTTGAGACAGAGTCTTGCAGTGCAGTTGTGGTTTGGCCTTAACCTCACTATAATAGCCCAAGCTGGCCTTGAACTTGCAGCAATTCTCCTGTCTCAGCCTCCCAAGTGCTCCTGTGCACCACCATGCTTGGCCTGACTTCTAGCATGTTTGAAGATTGTAAACTTAATTACTTGGATCTACTCCTTCTCTACATGTCAAATATTTTTTTTTCCTAACTGAATGGCTTAGTTTATTTTTTTCACAATAGGAACATGTTAATATTTTTATGTCTATCTCTTTTGTGTATTTTGTTCCCAGACTTAAGAATGTGTATATGACCTGTTTTCTAAATTTTGTTGTAAAATATGTTGTTGTGATTTTTTTTTTGCTTTTATCTTTGATCCACCTGTAGTATGAATATATAGGAGCCAATACAATCAGCAGTGTTCTCAGTAGATTTTCTTGATATTTTACATCTACTTTTTTTAGGACAGATTTTTTTTTAAGTCAGCAAGGTAATTAACTACAAGAACTTCATTAATGCTACATTTTAGGATATGCAAATGTGAAAGATTTCTAACTTTATCCTGTGTATTTCGCATATATCATTAGTCACTGTTAGACACTTTGGTCTTGTTTAATATAATTCAGTGATGAATATGTATTTTAATGAGTTTTTTTTTACATCAACATCTTTAACTTTTGTCTAATTTATAATCTTAATTTAGAGTTAATAGAAATAGTTGTCTATAGAGATTATGCTTTGAAACTGCTAATAAGTTTAGTCGTTACAATTTTTGGTTTCCTAGACCATGAGTAGTAGATTTCATTTTTTATGAAGACCTGTGTATGAATTAAAGGGCGTCAGAGTGTCTCAATGGCAAGTAACACAGTGGAATACAAATCAGAAGATGGAAATACTAGACCTCTCCATTGTTAATGTACACTGTGTTCGGTCATCTGAATGTAACGTGGGTATTTAAATTGGTGATAATAGCCATTACTACTTGGTAGTTTGTGAAGTCCTTCATCCCTGTTTAAATTTTTTAAAAGTAGTTATCTGATACCCCTGTTTTACAAATGTGGAAATTGAGAGTCAGGGAAATTAAGTCGCTCAAGATTATGTTAGTAGTAAAAAAAAGTAATATACATGCTTATAATTAGAATTTGCCTGATAATTAAGATATTTAGTTACAGCCATGCCAGGGTTTGTTGTTTATAGGATTCTTTGTGAATACCCTGATGTTATTATTGAAGAGTTATCTTAAATATCAGCACAGTATATGTATTCTACTGCATGTTTAATTCTTTCTCTGAGTGGTTCCTGATAATGAATTAAACTTAAAGGGTATGATTTTCATTATTTTTTCAGGTGAATTATTTGGGAGGCTACCAGTGGTATTTTCTATTTTCTTTTTTTAAAAACTGCTTCAAACCAGTGTTCCATTTCAAAATTACAAAATGATTTTTAGAAATATGATTAGCTAATACTAAGTTTTACTATCCTTAAGTTATATACTTAAATTGTTTATTTAACCCTTTAGTTACATAAATTTTTCTCAATTTTCTGTCTTTATTTTACAGAATGGTAAATAACGCCGATCATCTCTGGAAAGGATATTGATCTGCCTCATGTAAAGTATGCTCAGTTCCTTTCCAGTGGTGTAAGTATCTCATCCTTCACACTTTTTATCCTCTCAGTTGCATTAATAAAGAAATCATCATGGTTATGATTCATACTTGACAACAGACCTTTGTTAAGTTGAAAGAATTTTTAAGAAAAAGAATCAAATGGTATATCTGTTTGACACTGAGGTGAACAAGCATTATAATCATGTGGTGAAGAATGAATTTTCAGGGCCGGGGATTTAGCTCAGTGGCATCACACCTGCCTCACAAGTGCAAGGTCCTGAGTTCAATCCCCCATACCCCCCTCCCCCCAAAAAGAATGAATTTTCAGGTCAGCCTCCTTGTTTGTCATTTCTGTTTTCACTTTTGGATTTTGACATTAATTTTCCATTGAACATAAAATTACTATCATTTTTAACTACTTAATGGCCTAGAAGATTGTGATATAGATGGCTAAATATTGGAGAGTGCTAGTTGTTAGTTTCTTTGTGACAAGCAGAATATTAGAAGTATGTTACCTTAATGCTGCCTTTTGTAGGTGAACTCCTAACACCGTAGCCATTTCTCTTTACCTACTGGGGATAGAAATGTAGTTAAGCCTATTAGCTAATGTAGTTGCTAGCCTTTCTTTGAAGTCAGGCTGAAAAAAAAAAAAAACAAATTGAGATGGTAGTATTATGCTGAGAGTGTTTTTGTGCTAAGATATGAACTGTAACCACCAGTTCATATTAAATAGCACTGTAATAAAAGTATTCTGGGAATTTCAGATATTAGAGAAGATAAAGTATCTATTAGCTCATTAAGTGCATCTTTAGATTCTAATGCAAGAGTGCCTTCAACATAAATATTTTCTAAAATCTGATGGAGTCTGTGTTTCACTTAAATTTTTTCCATTTTGGTTGTCACTTCTATAATCCAATTAATAAATAGGTTTTCCATATTAAGTTTCTCATTAAACCCACCCCCAACATTGAGTCTCTGATTTAGTGAAAAGTTTCTGGAATAAGCCTGAATTTCTCCTAAATAGCTGTGACCTTGGGAAAATACTTCATCTTTTTGAGCCTTGATTTCCCTTTTTTAAACCATTTGTTTACCTCTAACTGTGCTCAGTAACCAACAGATTGTAAGCATTATGAGGGCAGGAATTTTTGCCTGGTTTATTTCTTGTGGCATCCTCTATGACTCCTACAGGTTCTAACATTTAGTAGGAACTTGGTTAATTGAACAAACAATTTATTGTGTAAGTGGTCTCCAGTTCTCTGATTCCACACCAAATTTATATATCCCTCTATAAACTTGTATATTTCTACTTGGATTTTGTTGTGTGTGTTAGAAATACAGAGATGTTTAAAGTATGATTTCATAAATCACATGATTTACTGCCATACAAAGAGGATTTTTTTTTTTTTTAGATTCCCAGTGCTTAACTATATGGAGATTAATGTGAGCAAACCTCATAGGGAATACACCAATAGACAAGGACATTTATCCACATAGTGACTGAATACCAAAATTATCCAAGTCTAGTTGCTCATTTAGGATGGATGTTGGCTTCTGTGGAAAGTCTAAGATTGAGGTATACCTTTATAGGAGCGGTTCTCACCTTGACCACCACAATGGAGATCAGAGAAGACTGGAAGACACATAAGTTCACTCCATAGTAGAGGGCACTGCTGGTGTTGGCAGGTGAGGCTTCAAAGCTCTGAAGCTTTGATAGCCTGAGCTATCAAAGTGTCTGTCAAGCTCCTGAGTTTTTGTGTATTTTGAGGTCAAGCAGTCATCAGTAACTCACATGTGGGGGTCTGACAAGGTGTGATGTAACATTCCTGAAAGAAGAGGGAGTTGCTAAAGGAAAGGGGTTAAGACTCCAAGTTCTCATGTATAGGGGTGTAATAAGACAATGTTTTCAAGGGTAAAGGAGCAGCTCCAAGTTCTCATATGAGATTTGATAAGACATCACACTCTGGAAGGGAGTACACTTTGAGTTCTTACTATAGCGGAACATAGAACATATATTATTCATATAGCAAACTAACTATTTGGAGTTATTTCAGAGATACGAAAAGAGTTTTCCCAAAAATGTCCATAAGATGACTACAGTGGAAAAAAAAAACCTTAATCTTTTTTTTTTGTATATCCTTTTATTGGTACATTTTAGATATACAATATAATGACATTCATCATTGGAAATTTGCACCTTTACATACTCTCTTGGTTCTTATTTTTCCCCCTTCCCCTACCCTCCCTTCAACCCCTCCATCCCTCCCTATTTACAAAGGCTTTGTTTCCATTTTTTCATTTTCTCATATTAATTCCATTCCCCTCTTTCCTTTCCCTTAGTCTTAATGTTAATTTAAAAACTATTGAAGTGTGATTGACACATTGGAATATATTCCTACTTTTCTCACAGTCCTTTTTTAATGAAAATAACATGGTAGGCCATTATCTGTAGTCATGGCCTCTACTCTTATGCTTCAGTTACTTCTGCCTTGACTTGAATTATAGAATCATTTTTGCTCAGTTACTAGTAAAACTTCATTTGTTACTTATTTTCACTTTTTGCCTTTTTCTTATTTTAAAACTGCCACTCCTTTGACAGTAGTAATAATTGAAAAAGAGACCAATGTGCCATAAATAGTAAAAAGGGCCTGAATGCATCTTCAGCTGATGAATATTATTATTGACTCTAGAATGTGTTAAATCATCCTGCGGTAAATACTACATGTGCAAAACAAAACTTTTGCCTAGTCATTCTAGATAAAAAGATAAAAGCAGGAGACTCCAGCTGAATAAAAAGCTCTAATATCAGTATAATCTTACTAACTATTGATGCTTTACAAGTAAACATCATGGGATTTCAAGGTTAATCATTTATGAATGCTTTAACCTTCTTTGCTTTACGTGTTTGTGGAATTTAGTTTATAAAAATACATATATTCTGGACCTCATTCTTTATCCAAGAAGATTGAGGTATATATTCAAGTGTTGTTAAAATTTATTGCAAAATACCATTAGTCTCATGATACAATCCAAGGCATCAGTTTATGAACTGAACCATAATTCCTGAATTTAATTTTTTTTAATATTTTAAACATTGTCTGTTATTGCAGTATTAAAATTCTTCCCATTTTCAATTACTGTGACCTGAGTCTGAATTCAGTTTAGTAATTTAAAATGAAAAATATTCTTTATTCTGTGAACAATCCTTGTGCATAGGAAAATTGTTTTTTCATGTTATCTTTTTCTTTTATACAAGAATTGCCGTTATCATGGACTTAGATGACCTTTATAAGTCATTTACTGCTATAATTTCATGATTATGTGCTTAATCTAGTACATTATAAGAAATAAAATTTGAAAATGCCATACTATATGCCTTTGTTTATGTTAATGCACATTGAGGTATTATTCTCAGTACCCAAGAGAGCTTCTTGATATTGATCTTGATATTTTCTCAGTAGGATACTGTTATCTTGAGAATCACATGCATGATTTGATCCTGCTCTTTATGCCCTCATCATTCCACTCCATAGTGATCATTCATTCTATTCCAGCACGTGTGAATGTTTTTGCTTTAGCTGTATCTTTGCATTAGGGACCTCTCTTGGTACAAGCTATAGACATCTAATTTAAACAAGGTGAAACATAAAGGGAAATAAATTTATTCTCTCCCGTCAGAAAATAAGAAGAGCAGGAATGTGTAGGGTTAGGAATTACTCGAACAACTGCAAAGAGCTTTTCCCTTTGTTATATTGTGCATTTCTTCTTTTATTTTCCCACAAACTAACTTCTTCCACACAGTGAAGAATTTGCCAGACTAATATCCTCCTGTACCTGAGCACAGTTAGAGTGATGATCCCATTTACCTCTCATCTGACTAACAAAATCTGAAGGGACCAACGCTTGTATGCCTCTCCGTTTCACCAGAAGATGAATGTCGTGAGTGGTAGCCCCAGAAGGGTTCCTGAAAACAATGAGTTGTTCTAGGAATAGAAAGTAATAGATGACCACTGTTTCTCTTTTTTTGACTTTTGTAATAAAGTAGTTTCCAATTGTCCATGATTCCAAAATGATATAAAATATTACATTGTTTCAGATGCTTTACTTATAACACTTCTGTTTTAACCATTAAGATGGGTGCTTTTCAGTAATAAATAAAATTCATATAATTTACTTTTATGTTAATATACAGTTCTCTTCTATACAAGGAGAGGTTTGAAGAATTGCACAGAAATTACTATCTGCTCTGATCTAAATAGGATAGGAAAATACCATGATTGGTTTTTGTCCATATTGTAAGATAGTTCTTGAAGTCATATATCTAAAAAGTAAGATCAGTTTATGAAATATTTTAATAAGATGAAGCCCCAAAACAGCAATAGAACAAGTCTATTTCATTGTCGAGGCAAAGGATGATATATAGAAAGCAGAATTTACTAAGCCAATTAATTGAAAGGTAAATTATTGGATTAGGCAGTGTCTTTAAAAAGAACCTCAAAGGAGTGAGGTATTGCTAAGCACTTGGTAAAGTAGATGAAGGACTAAGGATTTAACTCTTTTTTGTTTGTTTTGTTTGTTTGTTTGTTTGTTTTGGCACCTGGGATCGCACTCAGGACCTTGTGCTTGCAAGGCAGGTGCTGGAGGGCCGGGGATTTAGCTCAATGATTCCACTGCCTGCTTCGAAAGCACAAGGACCTGAGTTCAATCCCCAGCACCAAAAAAAAAAAAGGTGCATTCTCTGGGCTGGGGATTTAGCTCAGTGGTTTTGGCGCCTGCTGCGCAAGTGCAAGGACCTGAGTTTGAACTCCGGTACCAAAAAAAAAAAAAAAAAAAGGCAGGCGCCGGAACCACAGAGCTAAATCCCCGGCCCCCAGGACTAAGGAAAGGATTTAAATAGAAACTAAAGTGTTAGGTGTCTTTTATAAGCTGTTAGAAAAATATCCACTTAACTTTTTCAAGAAACTTTTCATTTAAGTAAAATATACTTCTAAAGTGCATAAAACCAGTAGCGTCCAAATTTGATGAATTTCCAAAGAGAATTCACTTGTGTAATACAATGAGCATATAGATCAAGGTAGAGAAAACCAGTAACCCTATATAACATTTTACATCTACACTGAATCCAGGGCCTTACACATGCTATACAAATGCTCTACCACTAAGCTACATCCTCAGCCTTTTTGAGTTTTTATTTTGAGACAGGGTCATGCTAAGTTGCCCAGGCTGGGTTTAAACTTGTAATCCTCCTGCTTCAGCCTCCCAGAGTGCAAGGATTACAGATGTGTGCTACCATACTGGGCGAAATTTTTTGGTATTAAAGGACACAGACTTTTTGAAATTGGTCAGGAGAAAATAAATGAGTCACTCAGATTGCAAGTTTTCCTTCTGTTGTGGAGAGGTGATGATATGGGTGGGAATGCTAAAAAGAAAATTGAGAATATGGTTATAATAACCAATGCACTTAAAATAGCCAATATAGTCACTGAAAACAATCCATGTGTCCATCAGTAAAATATATAAAGCCTGTGGCCTAATCCCACAGTGAAATACTCCTTAGCCATGCAAAGGAACAAACATGCTAAAACATAAAATATCATCTATGAATCTCAAAAAAAACTAAGCTTAGGGGCCAGGGATTTAGCTCAGTGGTTTCGCCGCCTGCTGTGCAAGCACAAGGACCCGAGTTCGAACTCTGGTACCAAAAAAACCCCACAAAAAACTAAGCTTAGTAAAAGATCTATGAAAAAGAGTAAATAGAGTGTAGATAAGAGTTTGTAAGATAGGCAAAGTAATCCATGGGGACAAAACTGAAAAGTGATTGCCTCTTAGGGAAAGGAATTTTTATGATTTGGCTGTTCTCTTGATAAAGAGGTGCCAGAGAGAACTTTTTGGGGTGATGGGGAACATTCTGTATCTTCAGATGGATTTGAGTTTTAGAGGATGCATACTTCTCAAGACTCTTCAAATGGCAAGTATAAAATTTGCATACTTTTATGTAAATTTTACCTCAAAACAGAAAACCAGACCAAGTAGTAATCTCTAGTTAATGACATGCATGCTAAAGTGTTTAGAGGACAGTGTACAGATGTCTGTAATTGACTTTGAAATGCATCCAAAAATGCAGTGAATTGGGGATGGATGGGTGGGTAAATGAACAGATATATATGTACTGGTACAAATGTAAAAAGAGAAGAGTAAAATTTAGGTGGTTGGTATATGGGATGTTCACTATAAATTTATTCTAACTTTTCTACAGGTTTAAAATTTCTCATAAAACACAGGCTCTATTGAGGCAATCAAAAAATATAATAATTGTGAAAAATGGGTCTTTGTTTTATGATGGATAGCTTGTCACAAATGAGTATTGGAAGAAAGAAGACCATAATGTGTCTAGGTGCAGGGCAGTTAGTCTGGCCCATGGACACAGATGGTCTGCAGCATATTAGTTTGTGTTCCTAGAACGTGTGTTTGTTTAACGTGTGTTTGTTTCTTTTTTTTTTTTTGGTACTGGGGATTGAACTCAGGACCTTGCGCTTTCGAGGCAGGCGCCAGAACCACTGAGCTAAATTCCTGGCCCGTTTGTTTCATTTTTATTGAGCCTGTTTTTAGAACTGGGAGACTTCACATAAAAATTCTAAGTTTCTGCCTGCTTATTTTAAAAAGTGTTTGGAAAGCAAAACAATTAATGGAATGAAATAGAGAATCCAAAAGCAGTTACAGACTCACATGGAAATTTTATATACGATAAAAGTAGCATTTCAGATCATGGAAGAAGCATATTATTCAGTAAATTGTATGGGATAACTACCTGCCCATTTATAAAGAAATATATTCTAAAGCCTTTCACACTCATAAAGTAAATATAAGTTCTAAATTAAACTAAAGCTTTAATTGCTATGACTTACTAGTCCATCAGTAGAATGGTTTTATCTGAACCATTTTCACTGGAGACTTCAAGGAGTACAACAGCCTATGTCCTGAATCTTTTCGTTCTAGTAAGTCCTACAGGATATTGGAAAACAAAATAATATCTGCTTTGGGAGTCAATAAGATGCAGGCTTAAATTTACTTTCCTACTTTTCATTCTGATTTTTTAAATTTTTATTTTATTTTATTGATACATTTTTAGGTATACAATATAATGACATTCATCATTGGAAAGCTGCACCTTTACATAATCTCTCTTTCTGATTTTTTTGTAAGGTACAAACTCTTAGCCCTAGTTTCCTTACAATCAGTTCATTATCATGAAATGAAATAAAATAGATAATGTATAGCATAGGAAGTTACTGTAGTACTAGATGAGATTGTTATATGAAATTCTTTTCTAATTTCTGCCTAGAAGTGAAGATTCAGTAAATTCTTAGTACAGTATAGAAAAATGAAGAAACAGAGCTCCAGCAGTTTAAGGGGACTGGCCTAGATCACACATGAGAACATTAATTGACCTCTATTTCTTTTAGCAAATATTTATTGAGTGCCTACTGCATGCCGTGCATCAAGTTCGGCACTAGAACAATAAAAATTAAAATAGAAAAGATTACCACTTTTAAAATTATGTATTCCAAAAATCAAGTTGTATTAAAGGAATGTTTTTGAAGCAAAACATTTATTAGTACATTTTAGATATAGCATTCATCCTAGGGAATTTGTACCTGTACATACATGATACAGCTTGCTTCTCCTTTTTTTTCCATTCCCCTTCCCCCTTTCGACCCTTCCTCTCCTTATTCACAAAAGCTTTGCTTCTGTTTTCTTTAAAAAGAAATTTAGTGAAAGTTTTTATGATTTGGTTGTTCTCTTACACTAAATATTGTTATTCACTCCAAGAAAATGTTTTCTGGTGTGCTTCAGTATCTTGTGCTAGTTAAAAGGATACCTGTAGAAGCGATTTCCTAAGAAAAATGGAGTAGCTTCATTTGGCTACAACCATAAAAGATCCATTTTCAGGATAAATATTCAGAGAAAATGCATCACATAGATGAAAATTTGGGAAATTGCTAAGTAGTAGATGAAGTGGTGCTTAATACATTTTTTTAATATACCTGTCTTTTTCACTTAAATGTCTTTGCTTGGGCTTAGCCAAGCAAATCATTTGTTCTTACTGAATTGAGTTACAGAGCTTTAGGTCAGTTTTGCTCATACTTGGTGAAGCAAGATGATGTAAACTATTTTTTTCAGCAATTTTTTATTTATACCATGTTGGAGTATAGTAAGTTTGAAACATTTTTTTAAAGTTATCACATAGTTTGTGCTTACTGTACCGTATATACCTAATTTGTTGTTTTGGTATTATTGATATAACTAAACTTTTAGTTCCAATATTGACAATTAAATTATATGCTGTAATAAATTGTGCCTTGTCTTATATCTTATTTCAGTATCTGTACCAATCCATTTGCATGGTAAAAAAAATCTTAGCATGGGACTTGTCTTGCTAATTTCAGTAAACAAGTTGATATAGAAATAATGCATCTGCTAAATATTTTCCATAATAAGAACTTTATTAGATGTTGACAATAAGGAGACTCTGTTTTTAAGAATCTTTTTTCTTTTTTTAGTTTGCTGGAAACAATGTCTCACTATACAGATGAACCCAGATTTACTATAGAACAGATAGATCTACTTCAGCGCCTTCGGCGTACTGGAATGACTAAACATGAAATTCTCCATGCCTTGGAAACTTTGGACCGTCTTGATCAAGAGCATAGTGACAAGTTTGGAAGAAGGTCCAGCTATGGAGGAAGTTCATATGGGAATAGTACCCACAATGTTCCAGCATCTTCCTCCACAGCTACAGCTTCCACACAGACCCAGCATTCGGGAATGTCCCCATCACCGAGCAACAGTTATGATACTTCCCCTCAGCCTTGCACTACCAATCAAAATGGAAGGGAGAACAATGAGCGATTGTCCACATCCAATGGGAAGATGTCACCAACTCGCTACCACGCAAATAGCATGGGTCAGAGGTCATACAGTTTTGAAGCCTCTGAAGAGGACCTAGATGTAGATGATAAAGTGGAAGAATTAATGAGGTTAGTTACTTTGCTTACTCCGAGTCTCCAAAATGACTGTGTTCTTAGATTGCTTTTAAGTAATAATCTGTATTTCAGTTACTTACCTATAAAAACTGTAACTTCTTCATCCCTTTTTTGGAGAAGAAAGAAAAAAATACATATTTTATGTTCTTAATTGAAATTTTCTCTTCAGCCTTTTTTGCTACTTGATAATCCTTTTCTATTCTGCCTCTTTATCAAAGATTAGACTTCTCTTCATGGCTCTAGCACATAATTTGTGACTAACAGAAGTTAGTCTAATCTTTAAGTCTTTCTAAGTACTTTTCTGAGGGATAAGATAATTTTATCATGCTACGTAATATATACACTGTTCCTTTTTCTCTCCAACATTCCAATCAACAAAATAATTTGAGCAAGAATTAAATTAAGAAGTAGTTTTTAACAAGAAAAATATTGCTTCTGCCCCTAAGAAGCTGAAGCTCTAATTTTAGCAACAGATATAACACATGCAGTTGTGCATGCACACATGTACACACCTAAGGGTTTTAAACACCAAGAAAAGAAACCCACTTTCAACATAGGTAATTAGGAAAGGGTTCATACCAGATTTGGGACAATTAGAGGGCCACAAACATGTGCTTCTCATTACTGTTTGTCCAGAACCTACAACTTTCCTTAGCACATAGTTATGGCTTAATTTTTTGAGTGAATGAATTTGATAAAACCTTAAAGGATAGCCTCTGCTTTGAAATATAGAAACTTTATTCAAAGCTAAGAGAATCCTAGAACGTGTCAGAGAAGGCAAGGCCTGTCTTCAGCCTAGTAAAAGGCTGAGCCACCTCCCAGCCCCAGATGTTGAGCGCTTTGGAATTTAGTCTGTTATGATTGTGGAGATTAAAAGGGAGGCCCATTTGGGCAAATAAAAGCTTGTTCACTCATTGGAATATAAGATGTGCTTTTAATTATCCAGACTAAAGAGTGTTTAAGTAATAAAAGTACTTTTTAGATGTATGTTATTGTTATGGCTGTTAATTTTGATTAATTTTTAATATAATAATCCCCGAATGTGTATAACAGTAACAAAATATATGGAAAAGTATGGAAAATTGTTGTCTTCTTTTTTTTGTTTTTTTGTTTGTTTGGTTTTTTTTGGTTATTTGTGACAAGGTATTACTATGTAGTCCAGGCTTACCTGGACTAAAGCACAGGCAAGGCTCAAACCCTTGATCCTTCTCCCTCCAAGGTGCTAGATTACAACAATCATGTGCCACCATGAAATTGTCTTTTTAACAAAATAATTTGGAAGACTAAAAAGTGTAATACAGGTCTAAAAACTTGACTTCTAACATATAGGTTGGCCTGATGCTTTATTTAAACTACAGTAATACCTCGATTGTCAAACTCAATTCATTCCAAATTCTTGTTCAAATACCAAAAAGTTCGAGAACTGAACATATTTTTTCAATAGGAAATAATGGCAAACCAAATAATTGGTTCTGAGCCCCCAAAATTACACTTACAAATTCATTTTTCTTGAACTAATAAATTTCACAATGATTTCTTTCTTTAACTCTATCGTGGTTTTCCTCTTAGCTTTACTGCTGGTACCACTAACTTTCTTTGGAGGCATGGTTATGATATTTTACACGAATAAAATGCAAAAAAAATAAAGCACAATGATGCATGTTTTAACGCACTAACACAAGCACTATACATTGGCGAGAGCAGCGTGAACTCAAGCATCACACCTTCTGTGTCTGCAGCGGAACACCATGCATGACTCACTCTTTGCCCATACGGGTCTTTTCAAGTCAAATTTTCAGTGTGACAATCAAACAAAATTACAAATGCCAAGCAGATTTTTTTCAGACTTTGCTCGTTGAGTAGTGGAAGTTTGAGGTTGGGGCTGTTTGTTGGACAACCTAGGTATCACTGTATATCTCAAACAGAAAACCTGTTAGCAGTGACTAAGATTTGTAGTTAAATCCTACAGTTATGCTCATTCAAGTTTCATTGTTCACTATATATAGTTATATATGTTGTAATTGGTATTTAATTTGTATACTACAGCTTGTTGTACGATTAGGATGCTGCTTCTCCATAATCAAGATACTACTTCTTCCCTTTCTCAGCTTTCTTAGGACTGCTCCTCTGGTGTCCCTTAATTACACAAGGAGCTCCTTGGACCTTTTGGCACCCTCTGGCACTCTGCCATTGTGCCTTCCCGGACTCTGCACTCCTGCTTTCCCCCAGTGTGCCCCTCCTCCTAGCTCTTTCTTTCTGCCCCCCACACCCCAGAGGATAATTCTTCTTAGGTCAGAGGGAGAAGTTTATGGAATGACTGTTCTCACTTGTAATCATTATAACCGTGCTATGAAGTTAATCAGGAAAACTGAAATTCATAAAACTTAAATAATTTGCCCAAGAAAACTTAAATATTAGGTAACAGAGCCTAAATTACAACTTATGTCTTTATTTTGTGTTGCTTTATTATCAATGTGTTTTCTCTGTAAATAAATTATTCATGTTTATAGTTTAATAAGACTTTAAGAAAGACAGTTAACTCCAGACACGGTGTAAATGGATTTGTTAGACTTGCTACTCCCCTTGCTCCATATGAAATTTGCCACTTTGAATCACTTACTAATCAAATGAATTTTTATTTGGTGGAATGTGAGAGATATTCTTTGAATAATACGTCTGTCTGAGTGTTCTCTACCCACCTACAGATATACTGCCCTTGCTGACCCCTCGACATTGGTGATATTAGAGTGAATCGGAACTGGTGATCTCATGTAGGAAGCACGGATCCCTGGATGTCTTTCTGCCTCTATTTTTTTGTTCATAAAAATCCACCTCTTACATTCCCCAGCCTCCTGGAACTCACCCATAAGACATATTTTTCAAATCTTATAATCCAATGATTCTTTAGTGAATTATAATAATTTCAAGGTATGTAATAGAGATTTCTTTGGAGAACCTCATCAAGTTAAAACTGTGCACCTCATCAGCTAAGAAAGAGTCAAAAAGAAACAAGTAACTGCTACTTTGCCCACTTTTTAATTAGGATAAAAAAGAAACAGAAAAAGAAAGCCCAGGTAGTGTATGAATTCCCAATAAGTTGTGACTTTAAGAGGAGAGGCTTATTTTGGCTCATGTCAGTAAGGCATCAAATATAACATTTTAGGGAGGAGTTTAAACTCATAATGAAGACTCATTTCACATTTTAATGTCTTAAAAAGTATATTTACTGATATATAAATATATGTATAGGAGTTTGTATTTATATCTGCTAGTATAATAGTATGCATCTAATGTTTATCTGCTCTATTATGTATGTATTATGAAGTGTATCAGAATGAATAAGTGCCATACATTAAGTATATTATTCTTAACACCTATATACTAAATTTTATGAATATGTTAGTTTTTTTTGGTTTTTTTGTTTGTTTTGCAGTACTGGGAATTAACCTAGGACCATACACATGCTGGGAAAGTGCTCTACCACTGAGCTACAGCCCTAGCCCTTTTTTGTTTTGAGACAGGGCCTTGCTGAGGTATGCAGAATAGCCTCAAACTCGCTAGCCTTTTGCCTTGGCCTCCCAAGTATAGTGGACTCTGTATGTATAGGCAAGTACGACCAGCCTGACATACGAACAAGTGGGTTATGACCAGAATTTTAGTTCTAACTTATGACCGAAGTCTTGAGTTAAGACCCAGGTGCTAGCCGCTGATGCTTTCAGATGGTCTCAGATACAGATTTATCCCTTAAAAAGTTCTGGAAGGAACATTACAGTATCCTTTCCTGTGTAGGGTTAATTGAGAAATCCTGGGTCAGTATCTCTCTAAGGACACCGAGATCTGCCTGTATACAAGGAGAGAGATTTTGAAGGCTGTGTAGAGGAACCTGAGCCTTCATTGACCAACCTGAGTTACAACCAGCCCTTGGAAATGAATTGAGTTCATAAGTCAAGGGTCCACTGTAGTCCTCCTTAGCTAGTATGTTAGTATTTTGTACAAAATTCTGAGACTATTTTTCCAGTTGGTTATATGGGCCTAACAATACATTATGGTTTGAGCATTCCTGAAATCTGAAGTGCTCCAGAATCCAAAACTTTGAGTGCTATATAACACCCCAGGTGGAAAATTGTACATCTTGAAACTTGCTTTCAAAAAATTATTAAAAATATTGAGTAAAATTAAAGTCAGGCTCTGTGCTTAAAGTATATATTAAACATAAATGAATTTTGTGCCTAGACTTTGGTCCTATCCCTAAGATATCTATGTCTGTATAATCGAACACCCCTCAAAATTCAAAATCTGAAGCACTTCTCATCCTGTGCATTTCAGAAAAGGGATACTCAGCCTGTATTTATTTGTGTGAGTACGGGATTTCTGTTCTGTAGGTAATAAGATGAAATGATTAGGATATACAGGTACCATATTGTTTATTCATGTACAGTATATAACGTAGCCCCCCACCCCCACCCTGGAATTGGGGATGGAACTCAGGATCGTGTGCTTGTGGCACCACTAAGCTACATCTCCAGCCCCTCAGTAGCTTTTCTTCTAGTGTAATCTTTTAAAATTATGCTTTGTGTATTTTCATGGATGAAAAATTATAGGAGGGTTTTTTTTTAACATTTTCATATTTTATTGGTACATTTTAGATATACAATATAATGACATTCATCATTGGAAATTTGCACCTTTACATAATCTCTCTTGGTTCTTATTTTTTCCCCCTTCCCTTGCCCTCCCTTTAACCCCTCCAACCCTCCCTATTTACAAAGACTTTGTTTCCATTTTTTCATTTTCTCATATTAATTCCATTCCCTTCTTTCCTTTCCCCTACCCTCCCACTTCCCCTTCCCTTTTGCCCCTTTTCTTCTTATAATAGAAGTGTTTTAATTCAAATGTGAAAGGCATTTGTATATAATTGTATTTTTCCAATTGTGAAATAGACCATCTTGGTAGGTAGTACTTCATCTCTCAGTGTTTTTGAGATAGGTGACTATTCAGAGAACCTAAAGAATGTTTAGTTTATATTAACTAAGAGGCTAAGATCTTAAAACATACCATTTTTAAGCATGTGGTCTTGAGTATCTCTTATTCCAGAAAGTTTTAAAGCAGTTTCATTTTGAACCACCATAAATAACTCCTTCCATTTTGATTTGAGAAATTTAAAGATAAAAATTTAAAGCTGTTTTATAAATTATCTAGATCAGATTTCCATTTACAACTTTTTATCTCTACAGATTTGTTCACTCGTTTAACAAATTAAATTTTATTATATGCAAGGCCCATGATGAGTAAGAAATAATCTTTGTGCCAAAGGACTTTACAAGCTAGTAGGAGAGATAAGATAGATTAGGAACAGCTATACTACAGAATAGATGTAATGTATTAGCATGTGAGTAGTGTAATTGAAATATTAAAATAGTCATTTGAAAAGAGGTCTTTGTTAGCTGTGGCAGTCAGGAAGAACTTCTCAGAACAGGTGACATTAAATTGTGTCTTAAAGAAAGGTAATTTGACAAAGTCATTGCTCATGAATTCCTTCAGCTATTAAGAAAGTTGTATAGGTAACAGTGGAAAGTTTAGCAAGTTATAAAATTAATGACAATGGAGAGTGGAAAGGAAGAATTTCATCTTGATGTGGAAGTCACCCAGATAAATCTGGCATGATAGGTATTTGAAAAGGTAGCAAGAGGAGATGGCATGGACTACAGGTGGTGAGATGCAAATCACAGAGTAGCTGACTTGGAATTAAGCTATGAAATCAAAGAAATGATCAGCCTATTCACTTTAGTTCACAAACGAAGTATAAAAATTTTGAGTAGTATGAGATTTTATAAGAGAAAGGCAAAAGAAAACATTCATTCTTTTTAGGGAAGGTATCAAAGAAGATGAATGAATTAGATTTGGAATAATGAAGTTTTCATACTAACTGGTGATTTCACAGGGTCAGGTTGTATGAAGGTAGTATAAGAGGCACATGGTTAAAGAAAGCTGGATGAGGAGAGAGTGAAGAGAAATACGTGAAAGTTTAAAGAACAAAGCAATCCAAGTAGAATGGACCTGTAATACTTAAGAGATTTGCACACAATGAAAGTTGAATGCTGAAATGAAAGTTGAAAACTTCTAGGAAAGGTAAATGACACATCACTACTTGTGTCTAAATTGACATTAGAGAACTCTTTCCATGGTACCTTAAAGTACCTTGTACTTCAGTCTTTTCTTTCTTTCTTTCCTTTCCTTTCCTTTCTTTTCTTTCTTCTTCTTCTTCTTTTTTTTTCCAGGGCCTTTGCACTGAGCTACATCACCAGCCCTTTATTTTTATTTTGAGACAGGGTTTCACTAAGTTGCCCAGGCTGGTCTGGAACTTGTAATCTTCTCACCTCAACCTCCCAGAATGCCAGGATTATAGGCATGCATTACCATGCCTAGCTTACTTTAGTCTTACCTGAGTATAGTAGATTATTTGTTTCTTCTTTTCTTGAGATTTTAGGTGAGGTTTTATAAAAATAATAGTATTTATGAAGCAGTTTTAAAATTTCAGAATTTTTTACATTGAAGAAGTTTTTATTTTATATATTATACACATATATGTATTCATTTTTAATATTATTCACTATTTAATTTCATTGCCTAAAGAAAACTTTAAAAAACCCTTTGAGGGTGATACTAATTTTACCTGGTGAGGAAACCAGAGTGCAGCTTTATTAAGTGACTTGCCCATGATATCTTTATTGTTTTTATTTATATGTTTTGACAGTGCCAGAGATTGAACCCAGGGCATTATACATGCTAGGCAAGCATTCTGTCATTGAACTATGCTCTCTAGTCCCCCTTATCTTTTTTTGTCTTATGTTTTTCTTTCCAAAAAAACTTCTCTCTGATAAAGCAGTAAGGAGTGTGTGTGTGTGTGTGTGTGTGTGTGTGTGTGTGTGTACACGTACTCATTATAGGTACATTAGTGAATTGCTGTTTTATAGACTTGGGATTCTTTCTGTCCTGTGCAGTCATAATGTACTACAAGACTGAATAGTTCACAAACTAGGTATTCCTTATTGAAGTAATTGTTACCTGTTTTATATGATTCAGTGTCTACTATAGGTAAATTTGATTTAAAATAATTTGACATGTTCTAATTTAAATCAGTTGTCAAAAATACCATTTACTCATTTTCCTCCACAAAAGCACATTTTTTCATTTAATCTGAATAATTATTTTCTTAAATAGTTTCATTTTCCTAGATCATTCTGTACATTGAAATGTGATGCTTTATTTTTAAATTTTCAAATTAATTTCATAGTTATATAAGAAACCAAATGATTTAATTATGTTATTTACATAAGCCAATTAGAATTGAAACTGCTAAAGTTATCTCTTGCTCACCTGATTATTGATATATAGACAAGCATTTTGGGAGAAATCTAGCCAGAATCTATATCAGTATGAAAATTTTAAATACTGCGTTAGGCAGCTTGTTCTTTATTTTCTTTGGGAATCTTCGGTTTTTGGAGGGGGCGCATGCTTCAGGTTGATCCTCGGGCCTCACACATGGTAAGCAAACTGTACCACTGAGCTCCATTCCCAGTTTAAGGAATCTTTCTGGTTAGGATTTCCATCCACTACATCAGGCATCAGGATGTACTGTAGAGCTATGGAGTGGAAACTCATTACTGTTACCTCTCCACTCTTCCAAAATTTCCAAACAGGAGCATGGAGTCCACCAGCAGAGTATGTAACTCCTTCTCATCGAGGGCTGAGATACTTGGTCTAAATTAAGGTACAGCTGATTCTTTGGGGGTAGGTGCTTTTCTTCCAGTTACTCTACAGAGACTTGATTCCTGAGAAAGAGTTTGTGGTTTATTCACAAATAATTTGTAAAGATTTTCTTTTCTTGTTTTTTGTTTTGGTGGTACTGGAGATTGAACGCACGGGCACTCTACCACTGAGCTACATCCCCAGTTCTTCTTTCTCAAGATAGGGTCTTGCTAAATTGCCTAGACTGGCTTGACCTTGAGATCCTCCTGCCTCAGCCTCCCAGACTACAGGGATTAGAGGAATATATCACCACACCTGGCTTAATTTTCTTTTTCCTTAAATTCTTTTATTGGTACATTTTAGGTAAGCAATACATTTACATTTATCATTGGGTGCACCTGGCTTAATTTTTGAGACAGTCTCACAAAGTTGCTCAGGCTGGCCTTGAACTTGGCCTTAGCATTTTGAGTAGCTGGGATTACAGGCGTATGCCACTGTGCCCAGCTTTGTGAAGGTTTTGTGATTGTCCATCTCAGATTAAAGGTTAGTTTTTCTGTAAAGAGCTACATAGTGAACATTCTAGACTTTGCAGCTAGGAGACAAAACTGAAGCCAGAGTGTAGATACTTAAATGGCCACAAGTTTTTACTGACAAAATTAAATACAGAATAATAATTAAATAAAATTTTTTAAAATATAGGCTTCTAGTTACAGTTACATAGGATATAATATTTTACTTTACTTATAAATGTCCCTCTGAGCAAAGGATTCTAGCTCAAAAGTTATATGAAAACAGATGGTAGGACAGAGCTAGCCTAATGGACCATAATTTGCTGACCCCATATGATAATAAATTATCACTGGTTTGTAATACTTCTGAGCTTGAACAAAACTCAGTGCTGTATTTTTGTATTCTTTATGAAGATAAAGCACTCAAAGAGAATTTTGGTCATTTTTAAGGGTTTAAATATAATTTTTATTTATATATTCTGTTTGTTCTTGTGAAGAGAAAGAAAACTTGCCACTCATTATTCTTGTGAGTGTCCAGTCTTTTGACAATTTGTTGAGTTTTTAAAGAAGTAAAAATTTATAACAAACAACTTAGAGGAAGAATGAGGTCTATTATACGTAATCCTAAGGACAGAGACGTTAGTATAGTTTTGAGTATTAAATATTTTGTATATTATATGAAGCAGAAAATTGAATGACTTTTCAGTATTAAAGTTTAATATTCAGTCCATCCCACTTTGTGTTTTTTGTTGTTGTTGCTGTTGTTTATACAATGAAAAAAAAAAAAGATGTGTTACAGGCCAAAGCCTTTTGTCAAATGGCTCATATTTTCAGTTGTGAGAGTAATGACTTCTATTCCTGTAACTATTTTAAAGTTTTTTAAATGAATATTGTTTAGTTAACATGTAAACCCACAATCTACTCACAGCTGATTTTTATTTTTCTAGGATTTCTGTGTAAGATACATACATTCCTCAGTAATGAAATTTATATATACTGTATCACAGCCCTGTTCCTAATGTGAATTATACACAGCATGCAATTAACCATCCTCTGGTATGAGACATATCTGTGGTGGCATTCACTAAAATGTCTGTCTGGTGGTGTGATGTTTAGGATTTGAATATTTGGTGTTTCTTGGTTTGTTGTAATTTCATATTTTCATACAAGTTTGATCTGTTTACCTTTTATTTTTGTGTCCTTTCTTTCTGTGTTCTCCCCATTTCTCTGCTACACCTTTCTTTTGCCAAAGATGAGGATTTCTGCCTTCAACATACATTGTTGGTCTTGTCTTCTGTTTTTGTTAGGAGGGACAGCAGTGTGATAAAAGAGGAAATCAAAGCCTTTCTTGCCAATCGGAGGATTTCCCAAGCAGTTGTTGCACAGGTAACAGGTAAGAGCTGAAGAGCCCTTTATTCTAGAATCGTGTCTATTCTCTGCCTTCTGTGCAGATGTTGAATATTGCTTGCATTTCTGCATTGCAGTGCAGATCTGTCCATTTAGGCATAATAATAAATGCCTGTGATTTAAGACCATTGTCTCTCATATCACAGAACTTCTCCAGTGATTTTTTTCTTTTACTTGTGCTAGTAAATTTTATAGCATTCATAATAAGCAGAAAATTCCCTATTTTGCAACTGAAAAAGGGTTTCTCTTGTTTTCTTTTAATTGAAACAGAGCTTATAACACATGAACATCCAACTACAGTCTCTGCATTTCATATTTTTAAAAGCGTTGCAGTCCTCCAAATCTAATTCCTAATTTTACCTGTTAAAAAATGATTCATGAAGGTAAAGAAAGTTTTTTTAACTACTTTTTTGTATATGAAAGCTTTTCCTCAAACTGTTGCTGAGAAGATGAGAGTTACCATTGTCTTCTCTTTGTTCTTTATATCCCACCCCATTCTCCACCCCAGTCCAAGCCCCATCCCTAGTATGTGGTGTATATATGTCATTCTCTATCCAGATTGCATTTTTTATGAACTTCTTAAATTTGAGTGTAGCATGTCTTTTCTTTGTTAGTATGTGGTCTTCCTTTCTTGGATTTTAATGATATCCCAAAATATTAACCATGCTTTAGTCATTAGAAGAAACAGACTCTTTCACCTACACATTTTATAGTTACTGTATTTTTACAATGGTAAATATAAAATCTGATTTCTCCCTCTTTTTTTTTTTTTTAAACATGCTATCACTAGGAAGCTATGTGATGGCTATTTGGCCTCTATACCTTCTATAGTTTTCTTCTATACTTGGATTTGCTCTTCAACAGTACCTTCCAATTTTAAGATATTCTTTTTCTTCTGTACACATTGATACTTTTGAAGCTAATTTACCTAAAAGGTTTTTGCTGACCATTAATTCGGTTAAAAATGAAATTTAGATATGTTAAATTTCATTTAAAATACCTAAGCTCACCCAGTCTTTTTTGTTTGTTTGTTTGGATTGGTTTTGTTGAGACAGTCTTGCTATGTAGTTCAGACTGGCCTTGAACTCACTAGCCTAAGCTGGCCTTGAACTTGCAATGATCCTCCTGCCTCAGCCTCCCAAGTGCTGGGATTACAAGCATGGCCACCACTCCTGACTTCACCCAATCTTTTATAATGTGTGTGTTACATTAGTATTACCTTTTATAAATGACACTTGTTCATGATAAAAGACTTTTAAGACACATCCTTTCATATAAAAGTCTTAGAACTAAAGAAGATATATGAATTTAACTGTTGTAGTCTCTAGGTATTTGTCAGTCTTTTTAAGAAAAGATTTATTTTGTTTTAAATTCGTAATCTTTATCTTCAAGGACTAAGTCATGGTGCTTAAGAGACAGTATAAGGGCAAGTTATACAGGTTTAACTAAAATTCACTGGTGTGTTGGGCAATGGAGAAGATGGAATGTTGCCTTTTTCCACTTTTATTTCAACCTCCATTATTAAAAACAATAGTTTGCAAACCAAAAAAGACAAACAGAATTCTAGTTTTATAGACCAGTATTACAGAGTTGCTTTTGTTCATGTGGACATATTTCTCAGTAGGTTGAATGCACTGAATTTTGAATCAGCTTGGATTTTTAAGCAGGCTTTGAAACCTATCCCATATGGATGTAAATCATAAGATACCTTTGAATAGCATTACTTAGGCATATCTAAAAACTCTACATGTACCATGTGAGCTCAATATGATACATCAAATATTGTCATTTTGGAAAAGGAGACTGGAAGATGTTTTCATACCTTGCTATTCATAATGTAGTCCATGAAATAGCAGGATTGGTGTCACCAGGAAGCTTGTTAGACTGCTACCCTGTATCTGTAGAGATAAAATTTACATTTTTACAAGATCCCCAAGTGAATGATCTAGTTTTGAAAATACTTTCCTAGGAGCCTAGTAAACTTTCCTGATCTTCATTTCAATGGATTGGAATTGCTTAACATTGCCTCACTTGGTAGTATACCATCTCTTGTTTTTGAAAGCAAGAGCTGAAAAAGGAAATTCCTTAAAATGTGACTCCCAACTTTCTTTTTTTATTGCCATCTTCTATTCAGTATACTCCCTGAGTTCAGCTACTTTAAATTTTCAGAGTTCTGTTCAGTTGGATGCTTCTAAATCCTTGGTTGTACCTGGTAGGCCTCATCATAGCCTTATTTATTTCTCTTAACCAGTATTACCTTAGTTATTATCCTCATTTGGTTTGGATGTAATTCTTACATTCTAAGTGTAATTAATTATGTCCAGTTCACCACACTGAGGTTTAGTACTCCTTTCAGTTATCATTTTAGAGTAATATTCTTCAAAGGCTGTGACTTTTTCCTACATATGCTCAGAGAGTGTAGCATTGTGTATGTACCATGAACATTTCATGTTTGCCTAGTTATCTTGTAGACCTACTTTGTGGTGTAAGGGGAGCATTACAATACAAACAAGGAGTTAACACAAACTACATGTGAAAAATTGTCCAGCATAACTTCTCCAGGAATAATATTTGCTCAACAAATTCTGCGTGAAATTATGCCCATAAATAAGTTGCAATTTTCTTTTATCTACAAGGCTGGAGAATGAGAATAATTGGCAACCAGATTGGTTTATTTGTCCTATGGGTCATCTTATTGAATTCATGTGTTTCTCATGTATTATTAAGTATGTTACATTTTTCATCCAGCCTGTCTGGCCCTCAGTCTAAGAGGGACAGAGCTCATTACAGAGACGAGGTCTTGCAAGAGAATAGTGAATTAATGAGAACCTAAATGAAGTCTGGCCTCATAATTGATCCATCAAGGATAAGAAACTTCCTGGATAAGGAAGCCTGCTAGTTACCTAGAGCTCACTCCCCAAAGTATCTTGATTACATAAATACAGTTTTCTGTCTTTAAACAAGTTAGTGGAGTGTATCTTAAAAGAATATCTATGTGATGAGATCAACCCTAAAGTAAAGTTTGGGATGTGCTATTCTAGAGTCTTATCCTTTAACACATCCCTTGAAAGTCATTTAAGGTCAACTCTAATATATGAAATCAACCTTGATATAAAAATGAGAACAAATGGTGCATAACAAAAGAAAATGCTAAATAACAAAGTGTAGTGAGGTGCAAAATTATAACACATGTGCTGTTCCAGAAACAAATAGAGATTTCTTTTTATAGAGCTGGAGGATTTCTATAATAAGATAAACAACAAGTTCATGGGTGGGGTCTGTATAAATAATATCCTACTGATAGGAAAAATGACAGTATAAACAGGATATAATAACAGTGCCTGCTGAATTCCCAGCATGTTATTTGTAGCTTTCTTCACAGTCACAGCTGCTCCCACCAAGGGTGGATTTTTATCTCTGTAAGAGATTGGCCAAGGTTCTAAATTCTCACTAACAATGATGAGGTGGTAAGCATAGCCTTTAGTTTAGTAATAAACGCATGTATTGTATATTTGCTCTCAGGGTAAAATGTATTCCTAGACTGTTTACAGATTCTTAAAACCTAATTTTTAAAACATGACACCTGGGGGAAAATACTAGGCATGAAGAATGGTAAATGGCAGAACTTGATGAATGCTTCTCAGCCAAAGAAATATACTAGTTGAGTTCATATCTTAGAAAAAATAAATACGTGGAAGAAGAAAAATGTTTAACACTTCTGAATTTTAAGAAACATTACAATTTTGTATTTTTAAAAATTGTAGCAGCAGAATTTTAGGGTTCTGTCTTTCTGGCATTAGATTGCCTTGTGACCTGGAGCCTCATTTTCCTTATTTATAAGAAGAGGTGCTTTGACTAAATAGTTTCTGTCTTGCTCCATTTGGGCTGGCAACTATAACAAAATACATAAACTGGGTAGTTTCTCATAGTTTTGGGAACTGGAAAAGCCCAGCATCAAGGCCAATTCAGTGTCTGGTGAGAGCCTGCTTCTGGCATAGACCGTGCCTTCTTGGTGTGTCTTCACTGGTTGGAGGGGCGAGGCATCGCTCTTGCTCTGGACCTTTTTTTTGTTTTTGTTTTTATTTTTGTTTTGGGGTGTTTTTTTTGTTACCTGGGATCAAACTCGTGTCCTTGCGTGCGAGATAGGCCGAGATAGGCATTGGAACCACTGAGCTAAATACCCAGCAAATACAACTTTTTTTTTGTTTTTGGTACCAGGGATCAAACTCAGGACCTTGTGCTTACAACTCTGGATGTTTTGTCTGAGCACTAATTCCATTCTTGAAGGTTCCAGCCCAGTCACACCCTAAAGGTGCCCTTGTTAATACTCTCACCTTGAGGACGACAGTTTCGGGATGTGAAGTTTAGGAAGAAATACTCAGAACATAGCAATTTGCAAGTACCTTTAGCTGTCAAATTCTGTTCTGTTTTTAAACTGGAAGTATGTTTCACAGGCATGTATCTTACACATACCTAGGGATTTTCATTACCAGAATGTAAGAATTCATGTAAAGTTCTGAACTGGTTTTAGAAGTATTCCATCTATATTTAAATCACATCCCTTATTTATTTATCTTAAACATCAAGGATGAAAATGTTACATGTTACACTGTTATTTTACATTATAAAATATTACAGTATGACTCATTTACAGAGTTGAAGAAATTACTATATTGATCTTTTTTGTAATCATAGAAAGTCAGACCAGGTATTAAATACCAATTAACCTGCTAGTATACGCCTTTAAAAAAGTAAACTTCTTTTTCTAGAGCAGTTTTAGGTTCACCGCAAAACTGAGCAGAAGCCAGAAAGATTTCCCATGTACCCCCTCCCACCCTCCATACACAGTCTCCCCCACTGTCAATCACTGTCTAGCATCATGTCATTGTCAACTCAAGTCTGTAGTTTACATTAGGTTCCCTCTTTTTATTTTTAATTTTTCACAGCTATTTATTAGTGCATATTTGTTATACAGATTAATGGGTT